ATCTGCACTCGTCTCCGTACAACAGATATAGGACCAGGACAAGTAAATGTTTTTTTTTTCCGGGCATAAAATGTATGTTTCAACCATTTGTACAATAAATCAAAGGCACTATAGCTTAGAGGGTCAAAGTGTCAGTTTTGTAAACTGAAGATTCTGGGTTCAAATCCCAGTGGTGTCTGATTGACAATAACATTTGTTTTCCTGCTGAACCCACAAACATATGTTTGAAAACTCCAAAACTTTGTAAAACCATAGTTTAACCTGACAAAAGTCAGTGTTTGTCTTTACGTGCATTCCTGTTGATGAGGCAGTAGAGGTGGTCTGTTTAAGGTTAAAATCAGACACCACTACATCTCCCCCTACTGGAGGAACTTCAGAACATCAGACTGGTTTATATCTGGGTGATTTTGTGAACTGTCCCCACTGCTGTGTGTAAAGGAATAAAAACGCTGCAACATGAAGAAATAAACGTTTGGATGAAAAGCAAACAGCTGGGGTTTAATTCTAGTCCATGTTTCAGACGCTTCGAGCTCGGGTTCAGTCAGAGCTGCAGCAGCTTTTCTTCATCACTAAATGATAAACTGCAAATTAGTTTTAAAACAAAGATAGTTCAGGTCTGTTAAAGTGGTGTTCTCTTGGAAAGGTTATGAACAAAAAATATCTTACCTGTTGATTGGTAGTCTGGATTACCCTGAAAGCCTTTTATGGTGCGCATGAAAGCTGTTTTGTAAACATTTTCATTATTGTCAAATTTGAATTACACAGATATTTATGTTGACTGCTGTATTTGCATAAGAAGCAGCAGCAGCTAGCTGTAGCCCTTTTGAAGGTGACTCCCTGCAGGAACTTCCTGCCTACATCAGGCCTGTTTTTCCCATTTCCTCCAGGTGAAGCTGTGGGTTTGTATCTTTTCTCACTCCTTGACTCCAACTTATCTCACCCCAACTGTTTTAATTTTGTGTCCTAGCGTCAGCTATGTGTCACATGACTCTGGATGGTACCATCGCATGGGTGATTACTGACCATCAACTCGTTAGTAAATGTTAGCATTTTTGTGCTTTTTTTCCCCTGCAGGCCTGGATTATTGTTTTACTTCTGGTCTCTAGTGAACATCTGGATTAGCATCACGCACATGATTTGTTCTGTGCAGATTTTCTTTGAGAAAACCAGCTTTTCATCTCTCAGACACCCAGCATATTTTGGGAACTTGTTTTTATATTAGGAGGGTTAAAAAAAAATTAATCAGGAAATTTATAATACAGCTTGGTACATGGTTTGGTAGGGAAAAAACTATAATCACACTCGAACCTGAACACCTACCAGGTGTTTTGATTTACAATGATCGTGTCAGTGGGAATGTAATAAATCAAACGTTCCAGGGGTTTGAAACTCATCTGGATTTTCTTAACTTTAAGAGTGAGTTTATTCAGGATAAAGTTATGAGGTTATTCCCAGAACAATTTCAATTTCAGGAGAGTGATTTTCATATTATGTTTTACATGCCATAAAAGCAAAGGGTGGAATGATATAAAAATATGTTTTATAAGGTGTTAAGTCGCCTTTATGCCTATTCAAACATATACTTTGTGTGTGTGTTACTTATAATATTTAGACACTCTTTGATGGTTAGCAGAGGGACGAAGGGGGCAGTGTATCCTCTCTAGGAATGCTTTAATAAGCATTAGGAGTGCTTTTGGCCGTAGAGCTTTGGCCCGCTTTGCGGTCACGGCGCTCCGTTACTGGAAGGACATGTTTTTATGAGCCATCGCTCTGTTGCACAGACTGCTTTGATGATGGAAAACATGTTTTAATGAGATCTGTCCTCCTGACAACCATCAAACTTGTTTTTCACTGCTCTCACGCGATCCGGTCAGGGAGAGGTATATAGGAGGTGTGACAGGCAAGGGAAGTCTTGAAGTCTTGCTGAGGGCCAGCGCGCGCGGTGCCCAGCATCCTGTGTTGGTGTGATTCCTGTCACTCGGGTCGAAAGGCTTCCCGACCACGTGTCACGGTGAGGGACTTTCATATCAATTTGTGTGTTAAGAGTGTACGAGTGTACATGTTTTTTGCTTGGCTGTTTTTCTGTGGCAGATTAATAAATGACACTATTATTTCTAGCAGTAACAGTCTCCTTTGATTTATTTCCTGTCGTGTGAATTATCGGGGCCGACCGTTCACGAACCTTGTATAAGAAATTTCATAATACACTTACTCTGCGCGACCCGTTTTGTATTTGTATTTTTTTTTCTATCCTTGATGTGTTTTTGTCTTTCAGGTACACGTGCACCTACATCTGGACCTGCCATTCTGTGTTTGTTTGCCTCTACTTCCTGTCCTCTCAAACCCAGTTGGTCAAAGCAGATGGCCACTTGTCCTGACTCTGGTTCTGCTGGAGGTTTCTTCCAGTTAAAAGAGAGTTTTTCCTTTCCACTGTTGTCATTGTGCTTGCTTAGGATGGGAGACTGCAATGATGTGAAGATTCAACCAGTCTGTTACTTCCTTAGATAAACTTTACTAATTGTCTTTTCTATGTATGTGAATGTTCCTGTAAAGTGCCCTGAGACGAATTTGTTGTGAATTGGTGCTATATAAATAAAATGAATTGAACTGAATCCGTTTACTCACAACTGATGAAGACTTCAGTCTGTGCTTGTGCCTTTGGACGGTTTGAAAGCTAGTTTGATGAAAATAGAGAAACTTATCTGTGCTGGAGGTGGATCCATGGTTCAGCTGGTCCTTCTGTCCATGACGAGTCGTTTCGTGGCCTGTAGTTCTGTGTCCTGGTCTAGGTTGGAACCTCTATCTCTATAAAAGATTCAATGTTGGAAATTCGACTTCGTCCTGTTAATCACCCACTGAATCAAATCAGGTGTGTTGGAGCAAAAATGCATCTAACGGTATGCAGGGTAGTGGCCCTCAAAGATTTGGACACCCCTGGATTAGACAGACAGGGTTGCTAGCTTGGGGGCCGAGATAGGGTAGAGGCTGGGCAGCTAACTCGGGACCTGAAAGTTCCAGGTTCAATCCCCAGTCATTGCATTTCCCGTGGTGTCTCTGAGCAGCACACCTTATCTGTTGCCAACTGCACCACCTGGGGGTGGATGGGTTAAATGCAGAGATCCAATTTCACCATTGCATGGGAACATACAATGATAACACATTATTATTATTATGATATTATTAGAGCCCATCAAGTTACTGTGTTCAGCATCTGCCACAAAGACAAAGGACCAGGAAAAATAAGGGTCAGGTCAAAGATTGTTCTGGAAAGCTGTACTTGAAGCATCAGAAGTGGGGAAAATGGCACGTTAGTTTGAAATAATTGCATCAAAAGAATCTCCTATATGTCAGTAAATTGTATAAATTTCAGGTTTCTGAGTCTTAGAAACTAAATTCTTGCTGGTTTTTCTTTGACTTCAGTCTTGTCTCAAAGGCTCTGGGCACTAATGAAGAGGCTATGGCTATGTTAAAAGGGCTTGCCTTACACACCTGCCTCTACCCTCATTCTCCCCACTCTGGGTCCATGAGCAAGGCCCTTAACCCCCACCATCTGCTCCCTAAACAGGTCTCTCTTGAAAATGAGTTCTCGTGGCTCAATGAGACTACCTGGATAAATAAAGGGTCAATGAAAGATTACAAATACTTTCAACTTATTGGTGTCACTTAAAAGATCATAATGAAAATCATCCAAGGCAAGAGATTTTAAAACCTAGCTGGGAAAAAGAGAAAAATAAATTTAATTCCTTTGTCTGGACTGTAGAAAACATTATAAAAGATTTAGATATATCTCACATAGATATTAGTTAAACAGTTCCTCAGTCTCCAGTTCACCCATCTCTTTTAACTAAGTGATGTTGATCTCACTTTGTTGGAAAATCGTAAAAAAGAAAACATTTCAGATCCTCATTAAATACAAGCATATTTAGATAGTAAGTATTATGTATATGTTCAGATTTATAAGGATGCATCAAAAAACTCAAATAACAGTAACGGGGTTTCATTCATGGTTCCAGAGTTCAGTTTCAAAACAGGTAAAAGAGTTACTGATGGAGTCTTGGTCTACACAGGAGAGATGATGGGAATCATTTTAGCTATGGGATGGATTGAGGAAGTTCGTCCATTAAGAAGTATAATATGTTCTGATTCAAGTTCTTCATTATATTCATTGAAAAACAATCATTCAGACAGCAGACCTGACCTTTTATTAGAAATTCAATTATTAGTTTATAGAATTCAAGCGATGGGTTTATCAGTTACGTTTTATATGGACACTGTCACATATAGGAATAAAAGGAAATGAGTTGGCAGATAAATATGCAAAACAAGCAACAAAAAATAGTTACATTGATATATAGGTATCAATCAGTAAAGGAGAAATCAAATCAGTTATTAAACAAAAGGTGAAGGAAAGATGGCAGAAACAGTGGGAAGAAGAAAGAACTGGCAGGTGGCTTTATAACATTCAAAGGCAAGTTGGTGTAATGAGGAGAACAGGACGAAATAGAAAGGAGGAAACAGTCATATCCAGATTATGTTTTGGCCATACAAGGTTAAACAGTACTTTATTTAAAATGGGAAAACATCCTACAGGAAAATGTGTTGTATTCAAGAAGAAACAGTGAAACATGTTTTATTGTTCTGTCTCAAATATTCAGTTGAGAGAAGGGAACTGGCACGTAGACAACAGGTCAACAAATTACAATTGATTATGCAAGACCTTTTGGATAAACGTTCCACTTCTGAATATATTGTTTTTTGTTAAGCTACCTTAAGAAGATGAAAATAATAGAGAGAATATAGGTGTTTTTTTTTGTTTCTTTGTTAAAACAACCTGTGTAATATTTTAGCGTCCCGATCCCCACTCCATTCCAGCAGACGGCGGTAATGCACATCTAAACATTGCTTGCCAACCCACATAAAAAAGAAGAAGAAGATTCCTGTTTCATGGCCCCAGCTGTTCTGCCTTTGATTGTCTTGATGTTTTTCACCTGTGTCTGGTTGGAAGAGTTACTGGGTGTTTTTATAAGTAGGGTCTTGTTTGCTCATCTCTTCATCAGCTCCACGTTTGGCCTGGTTAATGGTAAGATGTTTGGATTTTTTTTCCCCAAAAATGTATGTTTTATAGAAAAAACAAACAAACAAACAAACAAACAAACAATGAATGAAAGCCAGAAGAAAAAAAAAAAAAAAAAAAAAAATATATATATATATTAGATAATTAGATCCTTGTCTGTTTTCTATAGCTTGATACATAAGTATTGCTGTCAAATGCAATGTAACCCAAATAAACACTGCACTTTTGCACCGTTCTCAGATCATCATGATTCGTGCAGCTGCGATTCTCTGGGTCTTGTCAGCAGTGGTCTGTGTAGGAAAAGGTCATCACTATTTTTGTCATGTCCAAAACACTACCGTGGAGCGCTTCCTCAGTGGAACAGCAATGATGATATCGGCCAACAATGAATTTGCCTTCCACCTGTACAGGGAATTATCAGAACTTTCTGACTATCAAGGCAAAAACATCTTCTTCTCACCTATTGCTGTATTTGTGGCCTTGGCTGATTTGTCTGTAGGGGCACGAGGAGAGACCCACCAACAGATTTTAAATGTTCTGGGGTTGAACAGCTCGCAACTGTCCCAAACTGATGTAGAGGAACCAATTTGTGACATTGTGAACAGCAAACAGGCAAATGAAGCCCTCACTGCAGGTACTACTGTGTTTGTAGACGACCTGTTCAAGCCTCAGCCTGAGTTCCTGGATGTCTTGAATCAGTTTAAAATCGCTGACTACCGCAGTGTTGATTTCACTAAACCCATTGATGCTGCCAGTACCATCAATAAGTACGTTTCAGATAAGACCAATGGAACGATTAACAAGGTGGTTGACAGCCTGGATCCAAGCACAGTCTTGTATGTCCTTAGCTACATTTACTACAAAGGTAATAAGCTTATCATGAAATAAGATTTTAATATTTTTTGCATTGCCTCAAAGAAGTCCTTGTTTCTGCTCCCTTTCAAACAGCAAAGTGGGTGATTGGGTTTGATCCTGCCCTGACAAAGTTGGATGAATTCAACGTGGATGAAAATGAAAAGGTTTGAAATTGCACTATGCTGGATATAATGTTTGTATGTGTAAATGTTGGTGCTTGTAATGGATATGCGGTGCCTTGTTTACAAACTTATTTTCCAGGTTTCAGTCCAGATGATGAAAGTAGAAGAATATTTTTATACTTTTGATGAAGAAATTAGCACATTTGTCCTCAACCTTCCCTTCAACAACTCCTTCACCATGCTGCTGTTGATGCCTGATAATATGACTACTCTGGAGAACATGATCAGTCCCACTCACGTTGATAAATGGCTGAATGTGACGGAGTCTAGGTAATTGCATACACTGCTCTTACTTTTTTTTTTTTTTTTTAAGTTTGCTTTAACTTGCTCAATGTCCCCTAACTTTTTTTTTTTTTTTTTTCCCCTTCAAATTATTATTTTTTTTTTTTTTAGTGAGTGTGGCATTTATATTCCCAAGTTTTCCATCAAGACTTCCTACACCCTGAATGATGTGCTGAAGGAAATGGGAATGACTGACATGTTTGATCATGCAAATCTGAGTGGTATTTCTGAAGTGCAGAACCTGAGTGTATCAGAGGTATGACATAAAATATACAATTTCAAAATTTATATTCTCTTCTGTCCACATTTGAACTCACTCTGTTGTTAGGTTGTGCACCGAGCTGCCCTGGATGTTGACGAGGCCGGAGCCACTGCTAAAGAAATTGCCATCTTTGAATCTGCTTGCTTGATGCCAGATTTGAAGTTCAATAGTCCTTTCATGTTGATGATTGTTGAACGAAGTACAGAGACCATACTTTTCATGGGCAAGATTTCCAACCCAAACCTCTGAAGGAAAAACTTTTGTGGTCAAGCACAGTTGTAATAAACATTACATTAAAAGGAAATGGTCTGGTCTTTGCATACACAGAAGGTTCAGTCATTATTGTATAGATGTCTTTGTATTGCTAGTTGGCACTTGCTTCAGTATGTCAAAGTATTTCCACCAAAACGTAGATTGTAATAAAACTTATGTAATTGTTGGCTTTAATTTTGTAGTCGCCAATATTGTAGATGGCTGCCACAGCTAATAAATCTCAACTCCATGGATCCTCTCCAGAAAATTTGGAATAAGATGCCATTTCCTGCATTTTGTAGATGTTATACAGGTTAACATCTGTAAACACTTAATTAAAATCAGGTCTCTCTTGCAAATGAGTCCTTGAGGTTCAGTGAGATGACCAATATAGATTTAATTAATTACTTTTTTAGAGAGCGACAACTAACGTGAGTGTGTGTGTGTGTGTGTCCTTTATGCTACTTTGTGAGGCCCATTTTTCCAACTTGTACTGCATTGTGGGGACCAACTGCTCCTTATGGGGCCCAAAGCCCGGGCCCCATAAGAAGTCCCGTTGGTGGGTTAGGGGCTAGGTTTAGGACTAAGGTGTGAATTGAGGATGTGTTAGGTTTAGGGTTGGGTATGTACTGGTAATGGTTAGGTTATAGAAATGAATGAAAAATGAATAAAAGTCAATGCAAAGGCCCCATAAAGATAGCAAAACAAACCTGTGTGTGAATGCAGCTCAGATTCTGTCAAGCGTTCTAACCACCACATACATGCACTTTATTGTCCAAACCTAACGCTGCTGAATTCAGTCCTGCACGTTCTGCTCCAATCTCAATTACCAATGCTTTCAGGTGCTTCAATTCTGTTGTCCAGCTAAGAACAATCCATTTATTTTAAATGTCTTCTACATTTTGATAGCTCTTTTTCTTGACAAATTAGTGCCGTTGTTTTGATACGTGATGCAATGTGAATATACACGTCAAATGTTGCACTCTTTTATTGTAAGCTTATGTCTGAAATGTTATGCACTGCGGTAATGTATGCAGTTCTGACACAGCAGTTGTGTGCATGTCGTGCAGAACTGGAGACTTGTAAAACGTGCACTGTCTGAAGGGTGCACAGCAGAAGGTGGATGAAGACACTCCCCACGGGACATGCAGTCTGAGTCTCTGCTGGGCAGGAGCGTGTGCGCGGCCGGAACATCCACTCCATGGGCAGCGTTTCCTCTCATTGATAAACAAAATAAAAATACGCAATGACTTTGAACTTTAAGGGGCGGAGATTTGAGTTGCTGGATCTGAGCAGTCTAAATGAGTTCCTGGGTCTTGTTTCAGCAGGATCCAGTTCAAATTAACCACTGGTCTGTGTGGTGGTTCTTGAAGCACCAACTCCAGCTGTGGTCCACTCTTTGTGAATCTCCCCCACATTTTGGAATGGGTTTTTTTCACAATCCTCTCCAGGGTACGGTTATCTCTATTGCTTGTACACTTTTTTTTTTTCTACCACATTGTTTCCTTCCCTTCACCTCTATTAATGTGCTTGGACACAGCTCTGTGAACAGCCAGCCTCTTTAGCAATGACCTTTTTGTGTCTTGCCTTCCTTGTGCAAGGTGTTAATGGTCGTATTTTGGACAACTGTCAAGTCAGCAGTCTTCCTCATGATTGTGTAGCCTACAGAACTAGACTGAGACCATTTAAAAGCCTTTGAAAGTGTTTTGAGTTAATTCGCTGATTAGAGTGTGGCACCAGGTGTCTTCAGTGCCTTTTCACAATATTCTAATTTTCTAAGATGGAGAATTTAGGGTTTTCATTAGTTGTCAGTTATAATCATCAACATTAAAAGAAACATTTAAAATATATCAGTCTGTGTGTAATGAATGAATATAATATACAAGTTTCACTTTTTGAATGGCATTACTGAAATAAATCAACTTTTCATGATCTAATTTTATGACCAGTACCTGCTACCTGCAAGTGCTCTTGGCCACGCCCACTTCTCCCCTGTATAGTGAACAGCTGATCAGCTGCAGCAGGAAGTTTATCCTGCAGTATGGGTTGCACAAAGGTGCAGGAGGTGCTAAATAATTTGAAGTAATTTATTTTAAATAAAAATTTCATGCCGATCGTTCGGCTTATCCATCAATCAGCCAGTTGTGTGTCATGTCCAGTCTTATTTTGAAAAACAGACAGAGCGTAGCGTAGGAGTCCCCGTCAAAGTTTCTTCAAGAACTTTCTAGTTGTTCATTCAACTTTTATTTATACAGGTAAATCTCATTGAGCCTCAGGGACTCATTTACAAGAGAGACCTGATTTTAACAAAGAGTGATGACATCAGTAGACAATCATAAAAAGCATAGAAAAACAAATGAAAGAAAATGGTATTAAAAAACAAAAACAAAAATGTTGTTCTCATTGTTCATGTTCCATATTTGAATAATTATTTTAGCAATAACATTTCAAAGGCATGTTTGGTTTACCCCTCATTTGGGTAAATACTGTATTTGTTATTGTAAAGAAATCCCCGTAATTAACTAATTTTACTTCAGTGACTGAGTTCTGATTATAGAAGGTTGACTGAACAAACTAACCTGTTATATCCAAGAAAGTTCAATCTGGTCCTCTGGACATTCAAAAAAACAAAAAACAAAACAAAGCAAAAAAAAAAATGTAGAAACGTTTCGTCTCTCATCCAAGAGACTTCCTCAGTCTGAGCTGCTGTATTCAGCTCAGTCTCTTAAATAGCACCTTCTCAGAGTGGATCAACCAGTTTTGCTGCTGACAACCAAAACCAACTGATCACATGCTCAAGAAGGACCATCAGCCTAACAATGGATCATTAGCACACTGATGGCTGTTTACTGTTCACAGAGGACTGAGTGATACTAGCAATCACAGCATTGTAAGAGGGGGACAGTTGAACACGGAGGCCTCCACCCCTGTTTAACGATGGACGATTTCTTTTCACAAAGATGGCCTCCTTTACTCCTCTCTCAAACCATCGTTCCTCTCTGTCCAGGATGTGAACATCTTCATCCTTGAAAGAGTGACCGCTGGCCTGGAGATGAGTGTAGACCGCAGAGTCCTGGCCTGATGATGTTGATCTTCTGTGCTGGGCCATCCTTTTGGCCAGTGGCTGTTTTGTTTCCCCGATGTAAGACTGATCACAGCCCTCCTGACACTGAACAGCATACACAACATTACTCTGTTTGTGCCGGGGGACTGGATCTTTGGGATGAACCAATCTTTGCCGTAATGTATTTTGGGGTTTAAAAGCCACTGGGACGTTATGTTTAGAAAATAAACGTCTCAATTTCTCTGATACTCCCTCAACATACGGAATGACCACTGGTCTGGGTCTGGGTTCCTCCTTTTCACCTGATGGCTGACTGGAGTCCTGTTTGGGTTTCTTCTCTGCTTTCAGGAAGGCCCAGTTAGGATATCCACATTGCTCTAGAGCCTGTTTTGTGTAGGATTTCTCCTTCTGCCTGGCTCCTGAGCTAGTGGGGACGCTGTCTGCTCTGTGATACAGAGTCCTGATTACTCCTAACTTGTGCTCCAAAGGGTGATGGGAGTCAAACTGCAAATACTGGTCTGTGTGGATGGGTTTGCGGTACACCTCGGTTTGCAAAAGTCCTCTATCAGAGACTGAGACCTCACAGTCCAAGAAAGCCAACTTGTCATTTTTTACATCTTCTCTTGTGAACTTGATGTATTTATCCACAGAGTTGATGTGATCAGTAAAATGTTGGACTTCCTGAGATTTAATTTTAACCCAGGTGTCGTCAACATACCTGAACCAATGACTTGGTGGTGTCCCTGAAAAGGACGTCAAGGCTCTCTTTTCTACCTCCTCCATGTACAGGTTGGCAACAACAAGAGAAACTGGAGACCCCATAGCACACCCATGTTTCTGCCTATAATATTGCTCCCCATATGTGAAGTAGGTTGACTGTAGGCACAGTTTCAAGAGTTGACACAGTTGTTCTGTGGAAAGCGTGGTCCTGCTGCTCAGAGTGGTGTCTGATTTTAATCTTAAACTGATCACCTCTACTGCATCATCAACAGGAATGCACGTAAAGAAAGATGAGCATGCATCAGGATAACCTGTTATAGGTCTGTAAACTGACCTGGTGTCCCCAATTTTAACAAAAGCAAATAAACATAGTAAGGTGAGGAGAAAGCATCCTTCATTCTCCCTCACTCACACCCACTACACTTATTGTAGGAGAGAAAGCAGATTCAACTGAAAGAGGTGCACTGCTGTCACCTACAGTTTGACACTGCAGTTATGTGGTATTAAAAAACACCAGCTAACGTAATCAATGTATTGAGAAAATGAAGAAAATGAATGCAACCATGCGAAAATGTTTAACTTAAGGAAAGATGACCTGTTTCAGTTCCTCAGGCAACATCAGCCTGATTAAAAAGATCTGCTGCATATCTATGAGTAACACTAAAACAACTAACAGTGCAACAGAAGCACTGTTTTTTTGCAACAAAAACGAGAAGATTGCAAAGTTTTGAACTTTGGTTTAAATTACTGTAATTTCTGGACTATTGAGCACACCCAAATATAAGCCACGCCCACTAAATTTAAACAATAATAATAATTTTGTACATATATAGGCTGCACTTGTGTATGCTGCGGGTGTCCATGTTGTAATGTGAGACATTTACACAGAAATATATATTTTTTATTTTTTACTAAATACGTATCTGTAACATACACAAATATGTACAGTATATACACATCCTGGATAGAGAGGAACGATGGTTTGAGAGAGGAGTAAAGGAGGCCATCTTTGTGAAAAGAAATCGTCCATCATTAAACAGGGGTGGAGGCCTCCGGGTTCAACTGTCCCCCTCTTACAATGCTGTGATTGCTAGTATCACTCAGCCCTCTGTGAACAGTAAACAGCCATCAGTGTGCTAATGATCCATTGTTAGGCTGATGGTCCTTCTTGAGCATGTGATCAGCTGGTTTTGGTTGTCAGCAGCAAACTGGTTGATCCACTCTGAGAAGGTGCTATTTAAGAGACTGAGCTGAATACAGCACCTCAGACTGAGGAAGTCTCTCGAATGAGAGACGAAACTTTTCTACATTTTTATTCATCCATTATCTTTACCTGCTTATTCCATTTTGGGTCACGGGGGTCGCTGGCGCCCATGTCCAGCAATCACTGTGCGAGGGGTACACCCTGGACGGGTCGCAAGTCCATCAAAGGGCCACATAGAGACAAACGAGACAAACAAACATTCACTCTCTCATTCACACCTAGGGACAATTTCGAGTTACCAATCAGCCTAACATGCATGTTTTTGGTCTGTGGGAGGAAACCGGTGCACCCGGAGAAAACCCACGCATGCACGGAGAGAACATGCAAACTCCACCCAGAAAGGCCCCTGGACCGGGGTTTGAACCAGGGACCTGCTCGCTGAGAGGCAGCAGCTCTACCAGTTGCGTCACTGTGCTGCCCCACATTTTTATTTATTTATTTATTTATTTATTTATTTATTTATTTATTTATTTATTTATTTATTTATTGTTGTTGTTTTGCTTTGAATGTCCAGAGGACCAGATTTAACTTTTTTTTTTATTTTTCTACCTGGATTATTGAGCATGAATCAGGATGTACAGTAAATGTTTTTTTTCTGAACAGTGTCTGTAACACGGCTGGTTAAAAATTTTTTTAAATACAGTAGCCTACCAGGAAGTGATTGATCGCTGTCTTCATCTTCCTCAGAGGGTTTTTAAAAGCTGCTTCTCTGTCAGGATCCACTGGCAGACTGGAGCAGAAGTTGCTCTTTGCCGCCAGTTTTGGGAAACAATTTCTAGCCAGTCATCCAAGCCTCCCACCGAACTTCAAGTGTCACGTTAATACATGATTCACACTGATTTCGAGTGCGAATAATTTGTTGTGCTGCCAGGGAGGGCCCGTTCTCTCTTCCACTCTGCGTTTCATTGGTCCACTGTGACCTGTTTGGTAATTTCATCGGTCAAATTTTTTAAACTTTTATTTATATAGGTAGTCTCATTGAGTCATGAGGACACCCCCCCCCCCCCCACCCCACCCAGGAGAGATGTGTGTTGGGCAGCTATGTGAGCGCTGGAGTCTGACCAGGCTAAATGTTTTGGTGGCAGGAAGCTCGTTGGTTCGTCAGAAAACAAAAATCCATAAATTAGCCACAGCATTGTATAAGCCACGGGGTTCAAACTGTGTGAAAAAAGTAGCGGCTTATAGTCTGGAAATTATGGTACATAAGCTGGGGTTTTTTTTACTTTTTTTTTTGCATCTATTTTAACTGTCTTATTAGACCAGTGATCAGATATCTTAATTAAAGACAGTTTGGTTTGAGTTTCATAAAGTTAACGCTTGTACTGAATTTAAAATAAATTGACATATTTACTATGAAACTGTGAATTCACTGTTACAGTACAGCTTCCCTAATTAGAGCTACTTGTAAAAAAGTTCAATGGTTCACCCATCAGGATCAAGTCAGCAATAAAATAAAACATAACACCTACAACGACAAAAAAAAAAATCACAGTTCTGTGAAAAAATCTTGAGTTGATTTAAAGTTTCACACACAGAGCTGGTGTTTCTCAGAAACATATTAACTGAAAACTTAGCATAAGTAAATGGTTAACTGAAGAATGGTGTGGTTCTCAAGTTTGTCCTGAATTTTGTCCTTGTCAAAAATAATATTCAACCTTTATTTATTCATTATTAATATGAGTAACATTGTTAAAATGCACAGTCAAAAGTGAATGTCTATTGAATATATCTCACTGCATCTTTCCATGCATTTATCAAAGAAGACATCAGACAACAAAGCATTTTGTTTGTATTTAATGTTCAGAGCGGCAGCTGTACTGGAGGATAGTGTTTCTGCATCAGAGGTTTGGATTGACAATTTTGCCCATGAAAAGTATATTTTTTGTGCTGCGCTCAAGGATGAAAAGCATGAATGAGCGATTGAACTTCAAATCTGGGACAATGCGTAAGGATAGAAGTCTGATGCTGATACCAGTGGCAGCAGCAGCAGTGGCTCCAGCTTCATCAACATCCAGGGCAGCTTGGTGCACAACCTTACAGCACAATGAAGCAGAGTGAGCTGGATGTGAACATAATAAAAGAGAGGACAGGTGCGTCAACAGAATGTTTTTTCCATCCTTACCCCTGAGACAGTCAGGTTTTGCTCCTCTGAAATACCACGCAGATTTGCATGCGCAAACATGTCTGTCATTCCCATTTCCTTCAACACATCGTTCAGGACGTAGGACGTCTTGGTAGAAAACTTTGGAACATATAAGTTGTACTCCCTAAAAATTGAGTGATAAGACAAAACAAATAAAAAATCTTAAAACTGGTCTGGGTGAACAAGACAAACAATAACTGGGACCTATTGATTCTCCAACCTGGGCTTCATCCACTTCATCCATTTAGTAACATGAGCTGGGCTGATAATGTTCTCCAGAAGTGTCATATTGTCAGGCAACATTAGCAGCATGGAGAAGGAGTTGTTGAAGGGAAGGTGGAGGACCGATGTGTTGATTGCCTGATCATAGTAGGTTTTGAAGTGGCGTTCTGTCATCTTCATCATCTGGACTGGAACCTGGAATAACAGAAACGTAAAGCCATTACTTGAAGATTAAATGTGCATAACAATGAAAGCGCAGTTGTAACTCAAATATGTTCAGAATTAATTGTGGACCTTGTTAGTTTCATCAATGTGGAACTCGTCCTGCATGGTCCTGGCAGGATTGAATGGAATCTCCCACTTTCCTGTTTGAAAGTGATCAGCAGAAACAGGACTTAAAGGTGTTGTCCCCAAATAAAACAAAATAGAGCACATTTCATCTCGTGTGACCTTTTTTTTTTTTTTTTTACCTTTATAGTAAATGTAGCTGAGGAGATACATGACTGTGCTTGGATCCAGGCTGTCGACCAGCTTGTCGATCTTTCCATTGGTCTTATCTGAAACATACTTATTGATGGTATTGGCAGTGTCTGTAGCTTTGGTGAAGTCCACATTGAAGCCCTCTGATAAATAAGACTGCTTTAAGACATCCAGGAACTCAGGCCGAGGTTTGAACAGGTTGTCTACAAACACAGCAGTACCTGCATTGATGTCCTCATGAGACATTGTGTTTGCAAGGAGACTACAAAAGGCCTGGTCTACATCACTTTGGGACAGTTGTGAGCTATTGAACCCCAGACCATTGAAAATCTGTTGGTGGGTCTCTCCTCGTGCCCCTACAGACAAAGCAGCCAAGGCCAAAGATACACTAACAGGTGAGAAGAAGATGTTTTTGCCTTGGGAGCCAGAGAGACCTGATAATTTCCTGTACAGGTGGAAGGCAAACTCTTTGTTGGCCGACGTTACCAGGATTCTGTTGTTGCTGTCTGCAGAGGTGTCTTGTGTTTCCTTGGCATGACCTGCATGGTGATCACCTCTCCCTACACATATCACTGCTGATAAGATCCAGAGACCCACAGCTGCACGCATCATGATCTGAGACAAATAATCAAAAGTGAACTGTTTAGTGAGGTTACATGTTTGCATTTGCAAAAGTTATTTCTTCAAATTCAGACTTTTAGATGCTATTGATTTCAACATAATGTAACAGAACATGGGGCAGCACGGTGGCGCAACTGGTAGAGCTGCTGCCTCTCAGCGAGCAGGTCCTTGGTTCAAACCCCGGTCCAGGGGCCTTTCTGGGTGGAGTTTGCATGTTCTCTCCATGCATGCGTGGGTTTTCTCCGGGTGCTCCGGTTTCCTCCCACAGACCAAAAACATGCATGTTAGGCTGATTGGTAACTCTAAATTGTCCCTAGGTGTGAGTGAGAGAGTGAATGGTTGTTTGTCTCGTTTGTCTCTATGTGTCCCTGTGATGGACTTGCGACCCGTCCAGGGTGTACCCCCCCCCCCCCCGCACAGTGATTGCTGGACATGGGCACCGGCGACCCCCGTGACCCAAAATGGAATAAGCGGGTAAAGATAATGGATGGATGGTAACAGAACATTTATTCTAAAAAGTAAAAGTTTTGAAGCACGTTTGCCAAAGCACCCATAGAAAGTTACCAAAAATCATTCTCCTCGTTTTGAAGCTGTTAGTTTCTCTGTAACACAACAGCTTTTCCAAAATCCAAAAGATAAGATACCAACCTACAGTATTTGTGTAGACAGCCTTGTTGTCAAAACCTGTTGTGATTTTATCACGCATTTGTCCGGTTTGAATAAAAATAGATAAGCTGGAAACTTCAGCTAGTCATAATTATTTTTTTATTATTTGCTGAGCATTTGCTATGATAATTTTAAATTCCAGATAAGTACTTTAAAAAAACAAGTTTAGGACCTTTTTATTTCACATACCTAAAATGACAGCATTGTTGTCATTGTGCTACAAAGATATATAATGAAAAAGATGACGTTTACTTAAGTCCATAGGTGTTAACGTTATTATTGAACAAAATGTCAGTCTGTCTGCAGAACATACTCAGAACTTTTGCTGTTGTTTGTTTTATGTAAATTCAGTCAAGTACTTACCTTGTTCAGGTTGTAGTTTTGTTTCAACCACAGACGGGACAGCTCAGAGTGAACAGAGAAAGACCTGTTGTTTATATAAATGATCAGCTGAACTTTGACTTTGTTTATTCTTTTACTCAAAGTCTTGTTTGTTCTGCGTTTGCTCTGCAGAAAGATCAACCGCTGACTAATCAAGGCATCAGACTGAGATGGCAAAGCATGGTTTTCATTTGCAGGCGCAGATCAAATGTGTAAAAAAAATCAGGGCACAAGTAAAAAAGATAATTAAAAACAGTAGGCGCAGCAAAAGAGGAGTTTATTGGGTCCTAAACAAAAGAACTATCAAGGACTGCAAAACATGAAAGTGTGAGTTTAACAAAAAGATACTGATTCAGGAAATCAAATTCCTAAACCTTTGGAGAAGGATTTTCAAATTTAGATCACAAAGCAAGACTGATTAGTCCTTTTGAGTCAAGCGGACGATGCTCGGAGTAGAAGTGATGTTGAGCGGGGGACTGGAGGAGACCCCTCAAATGCAGAGCTATAGGTGGAGTCTACTTAAATTAGACCTATCATCACAATCTACAGTTATGGAGTCGATTACAGCTGACAACATTAATGTGCAACGGAGGCAAAAAACATGTTTAAGGAACTTCTTGGCTTTTTCTCTGTATTCTTTGCCATGTCAGTTTGAGGACGTGATTAGTCAGCAGTCGATCGTCATTCAGAGCAGATGCATAAAATCAAGAAAGAGAATAAACAAAGCTAAAGTTCAGCTGATCTTTCATATAAACAGAAAGCTTTCTGTCCAGTCTGAGCTGTCCTGCCTGTGGCGAAACAAACTGAATTACAACCAAAAGAAGGTAAGAACTTCCAGTACTTCAAATACACCTACAAATAATGCTGTACTATTTATTCTTAAAGTACAACATCAACAGATTGATACACTTTGATTAAGAATAATAAAAAAATTTGGGGCTGTAAAAATAAATGTCAACTTTACTCATTCAGTTTTTGTAATGCAGTACGATTAATTATAATAATTTCACTCATTTCAAATTAAAATTAAACTTTATGATGTCAGGTACTTAAATAAAAAGTTTCTTTATTTGTTTATGTTTGAAGTATTTATCTAGAAAAATAAACATTAAATTCATACAACAATTAAAATGGATTAAAAAAAAAAGCAAAAATATTTCATTTATACTATATATTCAATGAATGTTGTGTACGAAAAAAGTTTGATTAGATTTTACTTTAAACAACAAAACACAGTAAGATTTCGCCACAGGGCTGTGTGCACACAGGACAGTGGTTGGAAAATCTGTTGTGTTACAGAGAAACTAACAGCTTCAAAACTAAGAAAATGATTTTTGGTAACTTTCTACATGGGTACTACAAGTGCAAACATTGTGCAACCTAAATAAACACTGCACATTTTGACCTTTGTCTCAGATCACATGATGCGTGCAGCTGTGGGTCTCTAGATTTTATCAGCTCCAAAATGTGTAAGGAGAGGCGATCACCATGTAGGTCATGCCAAGGAAACACCACTGCGAACAGCAACAATAGAATCCTGGCAACTTCAGCCAACAAAGAGTTTGTCTTCCTTCTGTACAGGAAATTATCAGGGCTCTCTGACTCCCAAGGCAAAAACACCTTCTGTTAGTGTACAAAGTATCTGTGGCCTTGGCTGCTTTGTCTGTAGGGGCACGAGGAGAGACCCACCAACAGATTTTCAATGGTCTGGGGTTCAACAACTCGTAACTGTCCCAAACTGATGTAGACCAGGCCTTTTGTAAACTCACTGTATCGTGAGGACATCACTGCAGGTACTGCTGTGTTTGTAGACACGTTCAACCCTCAGCCTGAGTTCCTGGATGTCTTAAAGCAGTCTTATTTATCTGAGGGCTTCAGTGTTGACTTCATCAAAGTTCAAAGTTCTTTATGTGTCATTTGTACACAGATCAACAATCCAGGCACATTGGAGTTATTGTGCAGACCTCTCACAGTCATAGTCAAACAACACTGAAACAACACTAAAGAAGATGTTTTTTTTTAATCAGAACAAAGTGGTTTTTATCTACAGTGTACAGAAAGTAAACCGTGTAACATGACAAGTGAAATTAGTTAATGTTGGGTTATTATTGCACATGATCAGTGGTTTTGTTTTGCCATCAGTCATGGGAAAAAAAACTATTAAAAACCTTGGACTATGGGTGATGATGCTATCCGCTCTACTGTGCCTCAGGTTATATGAACTTTTTTTGTGTCTGATAAGAGCGTGAACTGGATGGGGTGAGTCCTTGATGATTCCAGCTGCTCGTCTTCAACAGTGCTGTACATATGTCGAGTCCATGGAAGGAAGTCTTGTCCAGTTTTGTTTTATGATCCACTCTGCAGTCTTTACGACTCTTTGCAGTGCTTATGTGGTGTTCCCATATCAGATGGTGATGCCTGTGGTTAGGATACTCTCTATCAGTCCTCTATAGACCTGGGTGAGAAGGCACTGGTTCAGACCTGCTTTCCTGAGCAGCCTAATAATGTAAAGGCTTTGCTGGGCTTTTTTCAATGTGGCTGCAGTGTTGAGAGACCAGCTCAGTTTCAATGTAATCTGCAGTTCCAAGAATCTATGGCTGTCAACCTCAATGCCTCATTCCGTTAACGATGAGAGGCTGTAATGGGGGAAGGTTCTTTCTGAAGTCCAGTATTATTTATTTAGTCTTTTCTGTGTTAAGGATGAGGTAATTTTTCTCTCCATAGCTTATAATGTTTTCTATCAGTGTCCTGTAGCCTGACTTGTTCCCCTCCTGTTATGAGCACCAATATAGTGGTGTTGTTAACATATTTAATAACGCTAGTGTTGTGTTGGGTGGAGACACAGTGGACACACAAGCCACAGACACTGCCAATACCATCAGTAAGTATGTTTCAGATAAGACCAATGGAGAGATCAACAAGCTGGATGACAGCCTGGATCCAAGAACAGTCAAGAATCTCCTCAGCTACATTTACTACAATGGTAAAAAAAAAAAAAAGGTCAGACGAGATGTGCTTGATTCAGTTTTGTCTGGAGTAACACCTATAAGTCCTGTTTCTGCTGATCACTTGCAAACAGGAAAATGGGAGACTCCATTCAATCCTGACATGACCAGGCAAGAAGAGTTCAATGTAGACAAAACTACAAGATTCAAAGTTGCAAGTTATTTTAAAGTTGTTTTAGTTACAAAGTGGTGAATCATTCTGCATATTAATGCTGACATTGTTTGCTTATTCATACATAATGGCTACAAGTTTCCATTACCAGGTTCCAGTCCAGATGATGAAGATAGAAGAACACCACTTCAAAACCTACTGTGAGCAGGCAAAGAACCCATCAGTCCTCCACATTTACTTTAACAACTCCTTCTCCATGCTGCTAATTTGTTAACCCAAACCTCTGATGGAGAAACACTATCCTCAAGTACAGCTGCTGCTCTGAGCATTAAATACAAAGAAAATGTTTTGTTGTCTGATGTCTTCTTTGATAAATACCTGGAAAGATACAGTGATGAAAGGTTATCAATAAAGTTTTTTTTCCATTTCTGTTGCTTTATATTTGCTATTTTAGTTGTATGTAATAATTTTTAATGCATATAAAGAACTGAGTTAGGTAATAATAAGTATTTTACTCATATTTTTTCTCATTGATCAAATTTGAAACATTATTTTTCCACCGTTTTATTTATTTATTTATCTAAATAGATTTGGGGCGGCACAGTGGTACAGTTGGTAGAGCTGCCGCAGCTCAGAGAGAAGGTTGCTGGATCGCATCCCAGCCGGGGTTCCCCTGGGTGGAGCCTGCATGCGCTTGCTGTGTATGCATGGGTTTTCTCCAGATACTTCGGTTTCCTCACACAGACCAAAAACATTCATGTTAGGCTGATTGGTAACTATTGTCCCTAGGTGTCAGAGTCATGGGTACATGTGGTGGAACAAAATTATGTACACAGGATCCCAGTTACATCCAACAATAAAATGTTAAAGAAAACCAGTAATAAGATCCAAGATATGAACTCAGAAAAATGCTAACTAAAAATCAAGCTAAGCACTAATAGCATAAAAACAATACGCCGAACAGCAGCACGAACATCAGTCTGTGTGAGCAGATGAGCACAAAGAGCGACATGAAACAGATCAGCAGCAACATGATGTGATTTTTCACAGAGATTATTCTGGTTAGAGATTCACGAGTCTAACATCTTCAGGGTAGAAGCTGTTCCTCAGTCTAGTGGTTCTACACTTAATGCTCCTCAACCTCCTTCCTGAGGGGAGTGGGGTAAAAAGTGTGTGTGCTGGGTGAGTGGGGTCCTTCATGATGCAGGTGGCCCTCTTCCTGCATCTGGGGGTGTAGATGTCTGTGATGGTGGGGAGACTGACTCCAACATCTTCTGTGCAGCCTTCACCACTCTCTGCAAAGCTTTTCTTTCTGCAGCTGTGCAGCCTCCATGCCACACGTTGATGCTGGAGCACAGGATGCTCTCCACTGCACACCTGTAGAAGGAGGTGAGGACTGAGCTTCCCAGACCAGCTTGCCTCAGCCGCCTGAGGAAGTAAAGTCTCTGATGAGCTAAAAAAGTTAAATCTGGTCCTCTGGACATTCAAAAAAAACCAAACAAAACAAAGCAAATTAACAGAGGACCAGATTTAACTTTTTTAGCTTTTTCTACCTGGATTATTGAGCATGCATCAGGATAGTCTCTGATGAGCTTTCTTGATCAGGCTGGTAGTGTTGTTGCCCCAGCTGAGGTTGTTATTCAAGTGTGAGTGAGTGAAAGAGTGAGCGTGTGTTTGTCTCATTTGTCTCTATATGGCCCTGTGATGGACTAGGACCTGTCCAGGGTGTCCCTGCCTCTCGCACAGTGACTGCTGGATATGGGCACCACCAGTGACCCCTGCCACCCGAAATGGAAGAAGCAGGTAAATATAATGAATATATGAGTGTTTGCATGGATGAATGGATTTGATTATTTATTTATTTTAAAAAAGCTATATGTAATAGTTACATTTTTTAGATGTACAGTACAGTAATCACCTAACTGTAGTGTCATCATTGCACTGTAGATGGCAGCAGTGAGCCTTCCCTTCTTAAATCAGCCTAAAATGTTTAACTCTCACGAGGAAGAAGTAAGACGCGTTCTGATTGGCTCCTTGCGGGTTCCTTTCAAACATGGCAGAAACAGTAAGAGAAAATGACCGGTGTGGACCGCATTTTCATACAAAAAGAATAAAATACAGCCCAGAAGAGGAGGCCAAGCTCGAAAGGGAGCATTTCTGGAGAATAATCGATGCTTTTAGGTTTTACAGGTAGAAGAAATTAGTTTTTCAAGTACGAGAAATACAGCATTAGTCAGCAGCATACCGTTTGCTTTTGTTTCCTAGCTTATTTGGGCATTCAGTTTCTGCGCTGTAAAGTAAACTTGAATCAAGCTGCGTCGTTTATTTACTCTATGGACTTGTTTTTCTTGTCCTGCAAAAACAACAACAACAAAAAACTGACTAGTAAATGTATTTTCTTAACGGGTTTCCATTAGTAACCGACCGAAATTCAAACGCACATCTTCGTTTTATAAATCGAATTTTGAACTTTTATAAAATAAAAATAGCTCATGACAATATGGCGGGTTTTGTTATTTACAACATATAAGAGGAGGAAAAATAGACAAGTTTCAAAAGTATTAACGTTACTCTTAGTGAATACGGTTACCATAGCAATCGCACACCTGTGTCTCACTCCCATGAGTTTAGAGTCTTTGAGATTAGAAAAAGGAAACCTATAAAAGCTCAGAAATGATGGAAGTCAACAAGAGTTTGGTTAGGTTGATCTGGGGAGGGACAAAAAAAGAACAAGCCGTAAAGCAATGAGCAACACTTGTAGAAAGAAGAAAAAATAAAAGCTTGTTTTGATTTTAAAACTTTTAAGATGTATTTGAATTTTGGGAGTAAGAGGAAGTTTGGACAACTGAAAAGACAGCGCATGAGTGAGAGCTGGAGAACCAAATTCAGTGGTAAAATTAAAATGTAAAATCACAAAATTCAAGCTTTGATTGTGTGAAAGCCATTAACATTAAAATTTCAAATTTCTGCTGTAAATTATGCTTTAGCTATAGCGCTCTATTGAGGACAGGGTTTTCTCACTCACTGTTAAAATCCTATTGCTTTTGTGGATATTTGGTTGCAGTTCTATGTAAATTTTGTCAAGATTGTACAATATACTGCTATCAAAAGTCATAGCAAAATATAAGATTGTGCCACACATTTTAATATATTTTTGTGTAATGTTATTTAAAGTTGGAGGAGGAGTTCCAAATCAATGTAAACTATCAGTCGATTGTTAATCGTGCTTATGTGTCAACCCCTATAACCACACAGAGAGAAACAACATAGGGAGCTTTTGGGGCTGAGAGCTAGATGAGTGCAACGTTATTTGGCAGCAATTCAGTTTGAGTGTTTATTGGCTTTTTGTTTTCCTTTTCTTTAGAGTCCATGTCCAGGAGCAGGTCAAACGAGCTGAACTTCAGTTCTGGAGCCTTTCACAAAGGCACCGGGATTTACTGCCAGGTGTTCTACCCAAACTGGGCCGTGTCAAAGAGTGCGCCAAACATAATCAGGAGGTTCTGGAGGCCATCGTTCACAACAGCCTCCACATGTTTGAGAATGTGGAGTATGGTGACAGGGTAAGGCTTGACTCGTACCCGGAACAGATGTCATTGTTTATACTGTGTTTGAAATTTTATTTAGCTTTGTCACGTTTCTTTATTTTAGCAGGGGGATCCAAGGAAGGCGCGTTCATCATCCACATTTGACATAGACAAACTGAAATCCACCATCAAGCAGTTTGTCAGAGACTGGAGTGAAGCGGGCCAGGCTGAGAGAGAATCCTGCTACAAACCTATAATTCAAGAGATACGGAGACTTTTCCCAATTGACCAATAGTAGGAATTACACATGAACACTTTGTAGTAGTACACACCAACTTCTTTTTGTTGTGCTTAGGTTTTAGAGCACTTTGTATTAAAAGATGTGTGATTGATTTACTCAGTGTTTTCTATGTGATATGTGCATTTTGTGCATTTTATTATATCAGTGATGTGTCTAAGGTGAGCGTGCTGGTCCCGGGAGCTGGGCTTGGTCGTCTTGCCTGGGAGATAGCTCAGCTGGGCTACACGTGTCAGGGCAACGAGTGCAGCTTCTTTATGCTATTCTCCTCAAACTTTGTCCTCAACAGGTAACGCATGCATTTAACACGACTGTAACTTCTCTACCAAACTATTGTTATATATTTTTACATTATTTATTCATAAACTTTCCTATAAATTGATAAATGCATTTGTTTATAATCGCGAAAGGATTTGTTGCAAGTTATGTAAGCTGAGCTACTGTATTATCTAGCAGTGAACGCTTGTTGTGGACTGCAGGCTTATTCCACATTAGCTTATCAATTTGAACTTTTTTACTCAGGTGTGAAAAGGTGAACGCTCTGACCTTGTATCCCTGGATTCACCAGTTCAGCAACAACAAGAAGTCCAATGACCAAACACGACCAATCAGATTCCCAGATGTCAACCCCCAGAGCTTGCCTCCGAGCTCAGACTTCTCCATGGTAGCAGGGGACTTTGTGGAAGTTTACAATGACCCAGGTATGTTGCAACTTAAACTCAGAATGCAGTCAAGTTTCCAGTACACCTGTAAGAGAGTATTAGGTAGACATTATTCTACATAATCTAAATATAAACCCTTCTGTTGGCTGGTGTGGGACCGGTGGTCGAATTGAGTCCAAGTCTGGATGAAAAAAGTCCCGATGGGCTACAGAAAAAACTCCGGAGCTTTCGGCACGCCTCCCCGCTTAGAAGTCCATGTTGACCGGCTACCTGCTCTCAAGATTCACAGATGGGTCTGGAGGTCTGGTTCTGCTCCGGTTCTGGTCTGGTTCAGTGCGGCTTCTCTGCATCCACTGGGCGCCGATCAGATAAAAACTTTACCTCTGTTTTTTCAGCAGAAGGAAAAGAGGCTTCTGAGCAGGTCCCTGTTGCCTTCTGGGAAATGTGGTCATTATGAGTGGGAATACAGTGTAGGCTTACTGAGAGAAAACTACAAAATGGCGGCACCTATCCAAAGTATTTTATTTTCTCGTTAACGTATTACTGTACAGTACTGTATCCTGTACTGTCCCAATTATGCGAGTAATAAAGTTGACAATCATGTGTCCTGTACAATTTTTTTAAAATGTTTATTTTTTTGTGTACAGTATTACAGACTGTACGTTCACAAACTGCGTTAGAGCGAGTCCACAGAAGTCGAACTGCAAAGTAGCGAGGGACTACTGTAGTAATTATATTCAAAGGGGACATTGTTATTGTGTGTTTCTTTCAGAGTCATGGGACTGTGTGGCAACCTGCTTCTTCATTGACACAGCTCATAATGTCTTAGAGTATGTGGACACCATCTGGAAGATTCTTAAACCTGGAGGTGTATGGATCAACCTTGGTGAGCCTGCTTTTGTTCAAATAAAAACAACTGTACTAAAAATGACTGCAGAAATTGTTGCAAGAGCTATTGTAAAATAAATACAGCCTCCTTTGTTTTCTAAAGATTTACATATTACAAAAACAATAGAGCAAGTAAGTTTCATCTTATCAGGTTTTAAAGTAAGATCAATACAACAGTGGATGAAAAAGGCCACATAGTATCACATATTTAAACTGTATATTCAGCAAACGGTCATGAAAATGCAAAAGCAATATGTCAAAACCTTTAACGACACTTATTTTATCATTCTATAAAACTAGTTGATACCTTGAAGTAATCGTCCTCTGTATGACCTTTATAGCTCTCTGACATAATTGTGGATGAGTTTTGCCTCACCCCTCTTTATAACCCTCGTTCAAATCATTGATGTTTGCCAGCTCTCTTAACGTCTCATCACAGCATTTCAGTCAGATGGAGTTGTCTGGACCATAAACAACTGATACCATACCATTTTATTTATAGAGCACTTAAAACAGCTACAAGGCCAACCAAAGTGCTGTAACACACGAAGCAAAATACACAATGAAGTAAATCGAAAATATAGACATAAAATCGATTCAGATAATAAATATGACGACTAACCAGTGTGGAGCGTACAGGTTCAAAACACAGATCATCTTGTGTTGAAAGCTACTGAATAGTAGTGAGTTTTTAAACGGGACTTGAAAACCGAGAGGGAGGGGGCCTGTCTGACAAGCAGAGGTAACTCGTTCCAAAGTCTTGGTCCTGCTACAGAGAAGGCCCTGTCACCTCTGCGCTTAAGACGAGTTCCTGGAACTGTCAGGAGCAACTGGTCCGCTGACCTCAGGGAACGTGGTGGGACATACGGTTGTAGCAGATCAGAGAGATGGGGGGGGGGGGGGGGGCGAAACTGTTCAGTGATTTGTAGACATACATGAGTATTTTGAACTGGATTCAAAAGTGAACCGGTAACCAGTGCAGTGAGGCCCAAAACTGGTGTAATGCGCTCTCTCTTGCCTGTACTGGTTAAAAATCGGGCTGCTGCATTCTGGACCAGTTGTAGTCGTGCAATGGAGGTCTGACTGATACCAAACAGGAGAGACTATGAAGTGATATGAAGTGTTAATACTGATATTCTGTTGGGCTTGCTTCAAAACATACTGCTGTGTCTTATTGTCAAACTTTGTTTTAGCGTCTTGTGATTTATATATAACTTTGCACACCTAAGCTGAACTGTCATGTTCTTTTTAAAAAGAGGAAATGTTTTTTCCCAGTAACCATTTCAAACAAGCTCTGTGATTTTTTCTTTTTTTTTCATGGCATTTATCATGGTAACTGGACTGTAGTCCTTTTGTTGTTTGTAATTCTTCCGAGTACTGTACTTTGTGAATTTGCTCGGACATCCTCTTTTGTAGAGCTTATGTTCAAGTCAGCTTTGGCAGCTGTTCACATCTCATCCAAAAGGCTTCTTCAGTTCAGAAATGACAGTCTTTTGAGAGAGATGTGAAAAAGTCTAGTTGTATTTTATTTAACTGAGTGCGTTGATAAGCTTCACCTGCCTACTTTGTACCTTCTTAAATCCTTAAGTAGGGATAAGGGTTTTTTCACACTGTTTTGATGACATTATTTATAGGCCTGTCACGAACAATCAATTAATCACATGACAAATGAAAATTATCGACCTCGGTTTCAATTATCGGCTTTATTGTTTCTTTTTGTGTCTCTTTTTCTACTGAAGACACGACTCAACTCCGGTGCTCTTCACTAACTCCTCCCTTTCTCTTTAAAATCCGTTTCAACCGTCCAAAATCGTGTTTTTTGATCGTTAAAAGCAGCTAAGCTGAGAAGCTAAGCTACGAGCTAAGCTAAAAGGCCGACCTCGGGAAAATCCTCCATCTTGTCAAAGCTCCATAATTCACGATTGAAATGTGCCTTCGTCTAAAAAGTTGTTTTTTTTTCAGCAAAAAGAAGCTGATAACTTGTTTACTGATTTTTTAATTAAAAGCTTTGTGTGACAAATGCTATGCTAATGAGCTCAAACCACACCAAGCGTCCGCCATTTTGAGAACCAAAAAAACAGCAATGAGAGACAGCCCATGTCACGTCAAGGGGCCTCCCTCCAATTTTTCTTAAAGAGACACGCTGCTCGCTCCCTCACCATCCATCCTTCGGTTCAAACAGTCTTATACTGCCATCCAGTGGTCCAAAAAGGTACTACATACAACAATTAACTAACATTTCTTCTTAAATTTGACGATTACTAATTATTGTCAAATTTCAAACAATATTATAGTTTATCGCAATAATTTCTGAGACAATTAATCGCCCAGTTAAAATTTATTATCGTGACAGGCCTAATTATTTACTGATTGTTTAACTGGGGTTGCCTTTTTTTTTTTTTACCACTTAATATGAACCAGTTTGTTGTTTTTGTATGTCCTGTTGCATAAAAAATAAGAATTTTATAAAGGTGTAATGATCTTTGTTTTAGTCGTTTTTAAAACTGTTCTGTAAAATGAAAAGTTTAGTACCTTTACTGCTTGTTTTCAAACATTTTTGAGTAAGATTATTATGTGTGGCAGTCTTTTATTTGAAATAGATTCAGTACTCAGTTGCTCTATAAAATATTGTCAATGTCTGATATTTTTAAGGTCCCCTTCTGTATCACTTTGAGAACATGGTCAATGAGCTTTCTATTGAACTTAGCTACGAAGACATAAGGACAGCGATAGTAAAGCTGGGCTTCCTCATTGAGGTAAACAAGAGCTTTATTTCATTTTATGACATGTTTGTATTTGTGGTTGCAGAGATGTTTTTCTTCCCTGCAGGTGGAGAAAGAGTCGATGCAGACCACCTACACAGAAAACAACTGCTCTATGCTGAGATACGTCTACGACTGTGTCTTCTTTGTCGCACGAAAACCTGAAGAGCTGCATTTTAACGGACAGGACAACGAGCGACAACAAAACTATCCCCCAGCTGCCAGGCCAGCACAGCAAGAATGCAGCAACCGTGACGGGATTTTTTTGTTTTAATTTTGGACAAAAATGATGTTATTAGAGGAACTCGAACATTGACTTCAGCTACAATGATTTAATCATCATAAAGCAAAACGAGTACACAAAAGTGGACAAAGTCTCTCTCTCGCCCCCACTCTCCAAAAAAATAAAAAGGGTTAAAATTGTCCCTTTTAGTGTCTCCCCTGGAAATATTTGCTCAGCTGCTTGAGTTTTTTTTAAGTAATCTGAGCACGTATATGCTGGCTACAATAATGTAAAATGTGGGATAAAATATTCCAGTACTGTGTTAGATTTTAAAACATCAGATAGGCTAATTTTTACAGCAGATGTTTGGACTTGAAAGAGGTGGGACACAGGTGCATCTACAATGACTTCAGTCCATTTAGAGCAGCTGTCTTAAATCCTGGTCCTCAGGGGGGGTGCCACTGTCCTGCATGGTTTAGTTGTTTTCCTGCGCTTCATGCTTGTTTATTCAAATCCGGTGTGTTGAAGCAGAAAAACATCTAAAGCAGGCTCTTGAGGACCACTGATTTAGAGGATGTTCTGCTCTTTAGCACTTTTACAGAACCATCATTCACACGCTGCAGTAGCTGAATGCAGCCCTCTTTAATACATCTGCTTTCCCTGCTCGGTCAAGTCAAAATGTCTACGATGAAATGAAACGGGCCTACTACTCTGCATTTTGGGAGGGGGAATTAAGTTTCTTCCAGACTTTTTACTTCATGAACTTCCTTTGCCACAACGATTGTGTGTAAATAAGTGTGTGTGCTTGAACATTGTCAGTCCTTATTTATTCTTTTGGTGCCAACGACTAAAAGGAAAGTGTTTGTCAGTCACCTTTCAGTTTTGAGGTAAAACATGCAGTTGTACATGAGTGTTTTCTATTTCTCTGCTTTCAAATCATACTTTGAAATAAAGACAACCATTTTAAAATAGTTGGTTTCGGTAATTTGACTGAATAAAATAAATTTACTACAAACTGTTTTTTTAATAACTTGTTCCCGAGGTCCCCTTCTTTAAGAATCAGCACGCGCTAGTAAAATAGAAGGCAGAACACCGGAAGTGGAGGGCTTGTGGGCGGGTTCAATGGGGCTGTGCTCACTTCTGATTGGCTCTTCTGTGTAAAGAAAAAAAAATCCACAACCGGTTTTTATTGTTTTCGCGAGTTTACGCGCATTCCAGGCATCTACGGTGAAGTAGCTCTCTTGGAAGTAGCATATAGGCCGTAAAGATTAGACTTTGATGGCCAAGAGACGCGCTGAGAACACGCTGCTGCTCGACTCTCCAGGTAAAAGGAAGTCCTGCCGACCACTGTGCAGCGTCGACATGCAGCTGGAGAGCAGCGTGGCTCGGAGCGGGGCTGTGAGTCCGCCGTCCCTGCTAGCTCTGCTGGGGAGTCGCTGCAGAAAAAGACCGCACTATTTCGAAAACGAAGAGAAACCAGTAGACACGGCACTTTACAGTTCACCCTGCGTGTCGAAGAAGCTGGCAGCAGCGGATGTTTCGACGGAGCGGGTTTCTGGAAGCTTCCAGGACCGTCGCAGCAGCTCCTGCACAGTCACAAGCAAGAAGAAACGAGCCCGAGTGGACAGCCTTGGTTCCGAAACTGTTCTATCTGCAGCTAGTGATAAAGTAGGTCACATCATGGCATCAGATTCGGATCATAATGACGGACATGCCTTTTAACTCGTGGTGTAGTGAATGTGAACGTCCACTAGATGTCGCTGTTCACAACAAACTCATAATTATGAGTAAAAAATCAAATGTTTTTTACACGTTTATGCTCATTTTCTCTTTTCTTGCAGACAGTGGAAGACGTCCCCATTGAAGACAGCGTTTATAACTCATTCCAGTATTGGAGGGTCCCCTTACCTGCGCTAGACCTCTCACTGCTGGAAGATCCCAGGGATGATTCACAAACGAAACATAATTCAAAAGTCAGTGACTCTTCCTCTGACACTATGGAGACCTGAAGACGATGGGCACAACAAGTCAGATATTTGCAGCCTTTTAATCAGGCGAACGTGTCAAGGAAAGAGTGACGAAGCAGATCGACACTTCAGGACACATCCAAGTGTGAAGGAGCATCTGAATGTTGGAAAATTTAGGGAGGCCCAGGCTGGTGGTGTATGATGTCAGTGACTTTAATCTACATGTGTGCTGACGCTAGTAAACGTCTGCAGAGGCATTCCTTCTGATGAAACCAGTGATTTTAAAGCAACTGCTGTTTGTATATATTGTGAAAGTTTTCAACAGAATAGTAGTTTTGATTTTAGTTATAGAATAGTTGCTTATATGCAACCCTTTTTAAGAGTTGCTGAGAGAACATTTTATGTGTACAAGTGGTGTTTGCTGGATTTGCATTGGTATTTTCATTTGAAATAAACACGTTTTAGGTACTGATTTAGTTTAATTATTCTGTGTTTGTGTGTTTTCTTGTGTCATTGAGGGGTAGATGATGCCTCATGATGAATAGTGTGGCACATTTCCCCAAGTGACTTTGAATATAACCAAAATAATATGACTGAGCGATACAGTGTGTCAAATACAGAATTTACTGATTTTTTTTTTTAAGGAAGTATATGTGAAGGTTGTGTAGAAATAATTTTGGACATAAATGTGTTTGTGAACATTGCTTGTGTACTTTTTGAGGGAACAATGCAGGGTTTACACATTTTTTATTGAGGAACAGGTTTTTGCAACACGTTGGACCCAAGGTGATTTCGTCTCATTGAACGCAGTTCTGCTTTGGAAAAAACTCATGGTACAGAAGAGGAAAGTACATAAAAATTTCAGTAGTTTGTCGTCGTGCAAATAAATGTATTATTGATTCTTCCAGTATTCTAAAAGATCCTGTGTTCTTGACATGTTGTTTTTAAAAAGATTCCTCTGGACTTCCAACAATGGAATCTGCAGTTGCGTTGAAATTCAGCCCGCGTCCAAAAACGTCCATGTCCAGCTGTTGCCACAGGTTATCTAAGAAAACAATGCAATTCTTCTTCATTAGTAATTACAGATCATGTAACATGACTTGAAATAAAACGAAAGATAAAATTGACAACAAAAATCATGTCATCTGGACCTGTTTTTTTGAGTGAAGAAATGTTTCGCCCCCAATCCAGAGGACTTCATCAGTCTGTGGCCTGCCAACCAGATCTGTCCCATAGGTAGCTTAACCTTCATTGCTGTTTCAATCCAACTGCCTGTTGGAATCTCAGAAGCAGGTTTTTAACACCTGCAAACAGAGCACACCCATCCAAAACCATCAATCATCATTAACAGTCAATCAAATGTTTTAGGCCTGGTGGCCAACTTGCTACTCACAGAAAACACAAAATTAACTACATGCCTGAGCAGGGTGCTGAAGATAAATGTTGAATTGAAGGTCATGGCTTTGCTTCCTATGTTGGCTCAAGGCTCCTCGTTTCAAAAGTGCACTCTACTTGGAGCTGTTTCACAGCTTCCCTGGCCTTGGACTTCTTTGGGCATTCCTTCAGTGGTCCCCACATCGAGTTCTAAGTTCATGAATTGCGCCACTCAAGGTGGCTGCATGTTGGAGCAGCTCTGTTACTTTCATTCTGAGATTTTGCTTTTGGAAACTTTAATTCCTCTGTTTCTGGATGTAAATCACATTTTTTGGATGATTGTTTCCTCTGGTGTTGGATGTTGTGCAGCTGGAAGGATTTTTACTGAAACTTTTTTAGTTTTGGACATTTGTTATGATGCGTAACCATGGCAACAAGGCAGTTTTCTACAGCCAACAGCAGCTGATTAACATCTCAAAAGCTCAAATAATATCTCAACAACAGCCCCAAATCTCAAACGAGTTGAAAGGATGTTCTGTGGATGCATTCTCATCTACTTGCCAGCTGTGCTCGAATGCCTGACCACTGAGATCCTGGAACTAGCAGGAAACTTGGCTCATGACAGCAAAAGGACATGATCATCCCTCAGCACCTACAGTTGCCTGTCCGCAGCGACGAGGAGTTCGGCAGACTGCTGGGAGGAGTGGCCATCGCTCTGGGAGGAGTTCTGCCCGGCATTCAGGCGGTCCTACAGCCCGGGGGAACCGAGAGGCCAGTCGAGTCTGGGTGGACAGATCAGACGACATCTGCAGCCAGTTTCTTAGGATCCACTGTGGGATGGACCTTTACAAGGGATCCTTCCTACCTACAGCCATCAGCATCTATAACATCTCTTAATGAAATGAGGATAACGAGTTACAACAACAAATCATTTCCCTTTGGGATTAATAAAGTATTTTTGAATTGAATTGAACTGAATTGAGTCAACCTCCTCCATCTCTGTTTTCTGCATCCTCTGTCCTCACTCCAACTACCTCCATGTCCTCTGTAACTGAATCCATATATCTCCTCTTTGTCTTTTTCCTGGCAGCTGCATTTCTAACATCCTTCTACCATTAAACTCACGATCTCCTCTGGACATGTCCAAACCATTTCAATCTGGCCTCTCTATCTCCCAGTTGTTCACTGGTCCGTCACTGGCCTTGGACAAACTTAGAAATCTAAGTTTTGTATCTCGGGTCAAGAAGCATAGTTACAAGTGTCATCACACTCAGACTGCAGAGTATCTGTGGCTCTTGAGGTTTTCAGTGAGCTGTGTGCTCCATTTTGATCGTCACTCTGAAGTGCATGGTATAGCAATTTCAGAACGGGTTTGAAACCTTGGGGCATCACGGTGGATCAGTTGGTAGAGCTGCTGTCTCAGAAAGAAGGTTGTCAGATTGAATCTTGGCTGAGGACCTGGGTAGAATTTGCATGTTCTCTCTGTACACGTGTGGGTTTTCTCCGGGTACTCTGGTTTCCTCCCACAGAACAAAAACATGCATGTTAGGCTGATTGGTAACTCTAAATTGTCTCTAGGTGTGTGTGATAGAGTGAATGTTTGTTTGTCTTGCTTGTCTCTATGTGTCCCTGTGATGGACTGGCATCAAGTGGAGTTCCCTTGCGCCATATTTTCAGCAATATGACTCTGGGACGAGTTGCACATCCAAAACTGATGTGCACATTTTATTTGGCCTTCATCAATGTGGCAAGTTACAGCCAATTATGCCTCAATATTTACTGATGTCCACATATCAGCTGTTAAAGTAGAGTGTTATGCTAGCAAATTGGTTTGCTTCTTTACTGTGTCATGCTGTTTACAAGTCATGTAACGAGACAAATATGATGGAACCAGGCAGAGAATAGATCTGTAAATCAATGTTAATGTTGCTTTAATGTACCTTCCTGGTTGGCAGAACATATGAGGGCTCAAGAATGTGAATCATACCATACCAATTTATTTCTGAAGCACTTAAAACACAACAAGCAGCCGTCCAAAGTGCTGTACAAAATTAAACACAAACAAAGAACAGTAAAACAATAAAAACACCTAAATATATATAAAAAAAAAAATCAGAACATCATAAGTAAAAGAATACAACATTAAGACACAGATGCTGACTCACTCTAGGTTAAAAGCCAATGGAAAAAAAAGTGTTTTAAACAAGTTTTAAAAACAGAAAGTGACGGGACCTGCCTGACCTCCAGCAGCAGCTCATTCCACAATTTAGGAGCTAGAGCTGAAAAGGCTCTGTCTCCTCTGGATTTATAAGAAGGTTTTCAGGACTGCTAAAAGCATCTGGTCAGAGGATCTAAGAGCACGTGATGGCATGTGAAAGTGAAGCATTCAGACAAATAAGAGGGACTAAGACCGTTCAAAGACTTAAAAACAAACAATAGAACTTTAAAATGGATTTGAAACTGGATAGGAAGCCAGTGAAGGGACATCAGAACTGGAGTGATGTGCTCACGCCTGCCTGTACCAGTCAAAAATCGTACAGCAGCATTTTGTACCAGCTGTAACCGTGAGAGCGAGGCCTGACTAACTCCTATCAACAGAGAGTTACAATAATCCAGGCGTGAAGTAATAAAAGCGTGGATTAGTGGTGTCTAGAAAGGAGGGGCTTGATTTTGACAGGCGCCTCAGCTGAAAGAAAGAGGACTTAACCACGTTGTTGACATGGCAGTCAAGATTCAGACAGGGGTCCATTTTCACTCCTAAATTTGTCACAGTGGACTTTTCATATGGGGCCAAAGAGGAAAAATCCAAGGTGGAGAAACTGCTAGGGCCACAGGATTTAAAGACCATGACCTCAGTCTTTTTTCATTAAAATGGAGGAAATTAAGTGCCATCCATCCTCTAATGTCATCAAGACAGTCCAGGAGAGACTGAGTGGAGCCATTATGTTTCAAAGGGAAATAGACTTGACAGTCATCCGCATATAAATGAAATTGCACACCATGCTTTCTGAAAAAAGAACCCAGTGGCAGAAGATAAAGAGAAAACGGGAGAGGACCAAGAATAGAGCCCTGGGGTACCCCCCAGGGGAGGGCAGCAGAAGCAGAGGTAAAATTATCCATCATCACACTGAAACTTCTATCAGAAAGGTAGGACCTAAACCACTGCAGTGCTGAGCCAGTGATGCCCACCCACTGCTCCAGTCTGGAGATGAGAATGTCATGGTCGACTGTGTCGAAAGCAGCTGTTAAATCTAATAGCACAAGTAAAACACAGTTTCCAGCATCCAGTGCTAAAAATATGTCATTAAAAACCCTTAAAAGAGCAGATTCAGTGATGTGGTACATTTTAAAACCAGACTGGAAGACCACCAAAATTTTAAATTCATCCAAAAATGCCTTCAGCTGGGTGTAAACAACTTTTTCCAAAATTTTGGATATAAAGGGTAACTTTGAGATTGGCCTAAAGTTAACAAAGAGGATGGATCAAGGCTAGGTTTTTTTTTCAACAATGGCTGCACCACAGCATGTCTAAATTTGCTCTCAAACAGCTCTCTGAATCCCTCATGTTCAACAATGGTGAGCAGCTGACAGTCTGTGATGATCTAACTGACCACAGCCTGATCCACTGCTCGCTTTCTGGAAGCTTCCAGTGACTATTGCTTTGGTATGGAATACTTATAATAATAATATGCACCAATCTATAATAAAGCAAAGGTGTAAAAGTCTTGGAGAGAATTTCAACTCACCTGAATTCACGACTGGAGTATTTACAGGTTATTCAGTCTCATACCATACCATACCAATTTATTTATAGAGCACTTAAAACAGCAACAAGGCCAACCAAAGTGCTGTACAAAGGAAAACAAACATGCACAGCAGACAGGAAAACATAAAATAAAAATACAGATACAAATAGCAGCAGAAGCTAACTAAAATGGCCAACAGTGTAGAGTACAGACCGGACCAAAACAAATCACACTGTGTTAAAGGCAAGCGAATAGAAGTGGGTCTTCAAGCGAGACTTAAAGACTGAGAGTGTGGGAGCCTGCTGGACACTGAGTGGCAACTCATTCCACAGTCGTGGACCTGCAACAGAGAAAGCCCTGTCAACTCTGAGCTTACGACGGGTTTCTGGGACTGAGAGAAGCATCTGGTCTGCTGACCTCAGAGAGCGCGGTG